TAGGATGAAATCGCCGAAAATATCTCTTTGCCGAGCTTCTTGTTCATTTCTCTCTAGTTTCATAGGACCAACAGTGGCATATTTTTATTAACTGGATAGTGTTTCGAGCAAAACTATTGCTCACAATCATGTCATAATTATACTATAGCCAGGCGAATACCATTAACCATCGATAAAACAAAATAGGTGGCAAACCTCATTAATCTCAAATAAAATAAAGGTATTTGATAAGGAGTGAAACTTCATTGTAATAGTTAACAGGCTGCAACCTAAAGATATTCTTGGAATTATAAGAAATAGGAGGAATGTATGAAGCAAGTTAGACAGTCGTATTAATATTTAGATATTATCAGTAAATAACATTGTATTGGTGTTCCACATAATCTTATCTTCTATAGCTTTTGATTTTTCAGTCTAAGCATTCATCGACTATTTAAATCCCATCTTAAGTGACTACATTAATTTATGTCAGCATGTTCTGCTTCGAAATTGAATTTACTTCTTGTGGCATTAACTCTTATGATGATACTCAAGAAAATTTGTAATTCAGGTGGTTGTTTTTAGTGTTTTCGTGTTCACGCAACTGGATAGCTTACTCACGAAGCTTTCATTGCCCTTTCAGGACTTCTTGAGAGTTAATTTCAGTGTAAAGTGAAGTCTGGTTATTCCTCATGTATGAGATATCTATCTCACCTGGTGACTTTGACGTTAATTAATTATCTACAGCGACCTTCTTATGACTGTATTCACTTGTGTTGATGTTGCGCCTCTCGTTGACTTGATGTTTGACCTCCTAACGCTTTGACGAACTGACTAATGTATATTTTATCTATGTAGAAATTTCAAAGCTAACTTTATAGTGGAATTAGTTGGCGGTGAAGATGTCCAAAAGGACAATAAAAGCCTTGGAACTCGGAAAATACAACATTATCAAAGATTATTATGATTAATTTGGCATGCGTTGCTGGACTAGAAGGTTCCGATGTTTATTAATAAATGAAATCTTATTTGTTTTTAGCTAATTTATTGTTTTACATATTTTTCTTAACGGAACTACCTACTTGTGAACTTATTAAACATTTTGTACTCAGGCAAGTAGAAACCTAAAGTCAATAGAAAAGACCTCGGAAATATATTCTATCCATGTAATCTGCAAGTCATGGTGCTTTTTAGATGAATAAACTGCCAAAAGGTATTGAAATGCAAAATACCACTTTTGGACACTTCAGTGTTTCTATCTATGTATATATGGAAGCGGTATATTTTATCTTTATCCAGTGCCAAATTTTTTATCAGGTTTTCCTAATCGTTGTCTTGAGCATCTTTTCGCAGCAAATGGGTGTATTTTGTTTTTCCCTGCGCCTGCTTACAAACTAATAAGGACTTTTTTAAGACAGAAATTGAATCAGTTCATCTTACAAAATATGCATGTTCACCAATCCTTTAGTCATAACAGATTTTTAAAGCCAACCAGGATACATAAAACCATCTAGCATAGTTTTTTTAGGAATACAATATCATTGATAACTTCACCCCCCTTAAACGACCTGGTCCAGCTGAGGGTGGATAGACTTTGATCTTCCTCCCAAAACGCTGTCATATTGCCACGCGTCTATAATCTCTACCAGGTCTACGAAGTCCTGTTCACTGCCTTCACGCGGCGTAGGTGTTCCTCACATAAGTAAATATAAGACTGCGAACGTCTGGCACTTGCAACCGAAGTGAGGGACATGTAAGTCTATGTAGAGCAGCTGGAAAACTTTGATTCCAAACCTATGGTGTATATGAGCTCCGGAATCCAAGAAGATACAATGACGTATGAACTTGTTTTGGTCACTAACAACGATGGGGACGTAGCTCCACTATCAAGTCAGAGGCTTGGCGGTGGCCCCTTGAAACAACGACCTGTTCCTGTCTGGGTGGTCGAGCAGTATTACAGCGCTCACACAAAATATGCAATTTTGTATGGCGCATGTTTTTACTCCAGCAATGTACTAAGTTTGTATTTTAATAGTAATAATAAATTCAACTCTGTTTGATAATTTAATCCATGAGTTGTTGGTTATCAGTAGAAAACTGAGAAAACAAGCGCACTGTTTCTTCGTGAATTTATTTATGTGTTTGTTTAATCATACTTTAATCTCCTTGTTTGCTTGGCTGCTTTGAAGACTTTCAGTTGTTGTTAGAACTCAATTACCTGAAATGGATTTCTCATGTGTCATATTTATTGTGTCAGGGCGGATCGTGTTACTCAGTAGCCAAGGCTGAATGTAGTACAGTTAGATTCAGTGTTGAATCCCATTGGCTATAAGTTGCACTCTTGAGCCATTCAGACAAATTTACATACGTATACTGTCTTTGTTTTCTATTACATGGTTGTTGCATTTTTCTCGTCTACAGTTGAATATTTTCAGGGATTCATCCCTGCATCTTCTAAGATATAAATGTCAAAAATATATGTAACTTCGATTTCTTCCATCAGGCGGTTTACCATAATATATGAAAAAAATCTGTCGCAGAATAAATAATCTTATCAATACGAGATGGATTAAATGTATTGTACTGCATCACTGTACCTGAAAGTGTGGTTCACTAATTATAGCACTAGAACTTCAGTCAGTCGGTTCCTGGTTCGAAATCCTCTCCGATTACTTCAGTCTGATGATTGAGTTACAACTAAGTATATCTTCTAGTTGTTTCCTCACCATACGCATGCATATTAGCCGTAAAGTGTTTGTCTTAAAGTTTGTCTTAAAAGACGATTTCATTGTTTTGTAGATGAACAAGCATCTAGATTCGCCAAAGCCTTGGGATTTCTTCCTCAAACAAAACTGCATAAAGAAGCTTGCAAACAAATTCAGAAGTTATACAAAATGTTCACAGCTCTGGATTGCGTTCAGGTTAGTAGCATATATATATATATATTATGTAACAAACTGCGGTTTTTAGGAAGAGGTTAAGACTTCTGATGTTAAAACCTGTCCAACTAACTACGTAAATAGTGATTATGTATGGCAGATATTGTTAATAATAATGTTCTTTGTAATCAGGGATAGATCAGTCATTGGCTCTAGTAAAATGGTTGAAACAGACTAATTCCGATCGGTTATGAAAGCTGGGATATTTGTAGATTGTTTCCAGATTTTGACTCCAGTCGATTAACCCAACAATATCTCATCCCTTTAACCAGTACACATGTACCTCGTGCTGTATAGTATACATCTTGTCTTCTAAAAGATCAAGCAGAAATCAGCGGGCTCTACTCTGTTTTTACCATAGCCACTTTGTGATACTATAGGAATTATCTTTTTCTGCCCTGGTTAATACTACAGTTACACTGGCCTCAGCTAAGTTCATAAATGGGAACCTGCCTAGTCATCGCCTTCCTCGACGGGCAATGTTAGCTGATATAGGGTGAGGCTGGAAAAGAGCTAGCGGCGGTCAAACCAAAACATGGCATCAGTCAATGAAATCTACAACAGTTAGTCTAAGCCACGTAGAAAGGTGTAGACTTCCTGGTTGGGGTCCTCGGGACGGTAAAAACCAATGGTTGGAAACAATTGGTGACATGTCTCAAAATCGTTCTCAATGGCTAGCTCAGATGCATCCACTCCTTGTGACTTATGATTTCCAATTAAACTTCTGCTCTCCGTTATTACTATTCCTTTGTCTCACACCTCTATTTACTGTCTATATTATGCATTTCTTCTACTTTCTTCTCTTGCTTTGCGTGCTACATAGATTGTGGCGACTTGAACTGCCGCACATATGTGCAAAGTTCTATGTCGAAAACCGACAGAAGTTCATAAATGTCTTTAATCGGTAATAAGTCGATTGATCTATAGCCATGGGTTCGGCTTTTACTCCAGATGTTTACTCTGCAATGTAGTGAAGTAGAGTCAAAGTTTCATCTTCTAGCTACAAAATGGTAAAAACAATTTTAAAGACCGTTTGGTTTCTCAAGATTCTGGAATCCATGTGCATAATTGTTTGTAAGACAGAGTCTTCGAAACTGTTTGACTGACTAAGACTGAGTTTTAGCATAGAACTTTGCACAGAAATACATCATTTCAAGTAGCCGCACTCCACATAGCCCCCATAAAGATAAACAAAAGAGATTCATAAGAACCATAATGAGCGGAAATGTACGGGTGAAAGAATAGTAACATGGTAAAAGAATGACGCTTTAGTCGATATGAGGATCACAAAGAGTAAATGCGTCTGCGCCACTGAGAACAACTTTGATCCATGTCATCGATAGTCTGAAGCCACTGCTGTTTAGCATTCCGAGGACCCCAACCAGACAGCCTATACCTCCCTCCCTACGTGGTTCAAACCATTTGTCAGTGATTTCATGGACTGATGCCAGGTTTTGATCTAATCATCCCTAACATTTTTCCAGCCTAATCCTAGGTCAGCAAACATTACCCGTTGATGAAGGCAATAGCTCAGCACGCGCGATCGATGCAGCTTCACAACCTCATCGACTGATTCCCCCCTCCCCCTTAATCACCATATCATATAACTTAATGCGGGAAATAAAAGGCACACATATATGGTCAAAGACAACTAGCCTTTTCATATCTTTGACTGCTTAGAAAAAAAGCGTTCTGAAATCGGTTACAGTAAAGGCTAGGGGTTTTAGCTTCTTCAATTTCGTAGAAACACCATTGTTCCAGAAGAATTATGCGTATATTTCACCAGACGAACTCTGTTTTACGCAGTAATATGATAGTGTCGCTGACCTCAATCCTTCTCACAAGTCTTTTTTTCGTTTTTTTTTCTGAAGTGTTCTCGATAATAAATATATTTGTGTGCTACTGAACGATTGCAGTCACTGTTCGCATAAAAAAAATCGACATATTGTTAACCCTGGTTTCTAATGGTCATACAAATTTGGTTTGTTTCATAAAACTCTTTTCAGCTATAAAACTATTGGGTGTATACTTGTTGACTTGGTGTTTTAATCTTGTTCGTATCTTATTTTGTTAATATTTTAGGTAGAAATTAACCCCTTTGGTGAAACAAAAGATGGTCAAGTTGTATGTTTCGATGCAAAGTTGTCATTTGATCAGAATGCAATCTATCGACAGCCGGAAGTTCGTCAAATGGCATCTGAAGTTGAAGCTATCGAAGTAGCCGCTTCTGGTCCTAACAGTGTAACAGCCTTAGAAGCAGATGCTACACAATACGGTTTAAATTATATTGGTCTAAGTGATGGTGATATTGGATGTATTGTAAACGGTGCTGGATTGGCTATGGCTACAATGGACTTGATTCATTATCATCATGGTAAACCGGCTAATTTCCTTGACCTTGGGGGAAGTGTAACTCAGCCCCAGGTTGAGCGAGCATTCGATATACTAACTAGTAAGTAATGTATATTTTTAAAACTTGTTTCATTTTACTTTGATTGCTCTTTTAGTTAACTTGTCCTTAGGAATTTTAGTTACCAAAAGGAGATTAGTATTTAGCTTTCGTTTAATTTCGTTTTTGCTGATTAGTGCTCTACTGTTACTGCATTAATGGTTAGTGCTTATAGAAGTGTGTAGGCGGTTATTACTCCCCAAATGTCCACACCATGGAGGTCGATTTCTTCTTGAAATACCTGAAGAAACAGGTGCATCACTGTAACATGACAGCAGAGTGTAAGCGACAACTTCTTGAGGCCTGTCACACATAGCCTGTTTTAGTTGGTTTTCAGAGTCATGTCCGTATAATGTTTTTACCACCGGCTACTAACCGCTTCAAGGTGAGTCGGAATGTTCAGAGGGAAGAGGCAGCATAGCTGGTTTGCTGGTTATCTGAGGAAAACACCGTAATGCTGTTACATCCCTATTCCCCAGCAGTACGACTTCGCCCTCAGGCCACCAACAAAATGAAAGACTTTCACTGTGATTGTAACTGCCTTTGGTCTGACCGTTATCCAAACGATGTTTCTGGCTTGGTCGAACTTATAGGAACATCCGTTCGAGCTAGTGTAACTCGTTTGGTCATCGCGACATGGGAGCCTGACCACCACTTAAGGTGGCATCTATCGGTCGGGACCAATTGTTAGGGTACAGTAATGTGCTATTTCAAATTTCAGATTCTTAGAAGTAATTGGCACCAGACTCCATGCATACTTCTTGTATTCACTGACACAGTGAAATATGTTTACAGCTCTGAGAAAACATCTACATAACATGTGCACTTATATTTCAAGTTCTCCGAAATAATTAACCAGGATTGGAATGGATTGGATTCATTCGATTGTCAACTGGCAAGTTAGCCAGTACGTGTGTCGTGAGTTTTCCTTATAATTATCTATACCTCCTGGGCAATTTCATCACTGTAGTTCATGACCCCTTACCTGTCATAAAGATTATGCTTATCTCTGTTGTTTTTATACTCTGATGAGCTTCCTACAAGTAAACAGACGCAATCATGTAATCATATACTGGATTTCACACTAGTTTAAATTAAGTACTTGTTGTTCGGACTCAGTTCCCGGAACAGGCTATTATTTTATTATTGTTCCCTTGGGTTCCTAGTGGAACATAGATCTTCAACTGCACGTCTCCCCTTGGTTCTGTCTTCTGCTGTACTTTTCACCTGCATCCATGTTAGTCCATACTGTTTCAACTCCTCTTCACACGATCTCCTCCATGTCACCCTTCGACGTCCCACTCACCGCTTCCCTTTCCCGTTCCACTCGAGCTATGGCCTGACGCGTGATGTCACCCAGCGAGTGGCCTCCTCAGCGAGTGTTCAATCCATCTCCACTTTCTCCTGCATATTTGTTGGGCAATTGGTTCTTGTTTTGTTTCTTCCCATAGTTTCTTGTTGGTTCTTGTTCTTTCCGACCATCTGATCTTCACTATAGAACGAAGACAGGTGTTGATAAAGGTCTGCAACAGGCTGTTGGAAATATTCTTTGTGACACACCGCCAAGTTTCTGATCCATCCGTATAGAAGAACTGACTTGACGTTTGTATTGAAAATCCGAATTTTGTTGTTGATGTTGAGTTGAGTGAGGAAGATTTCCAGATTGGTTTGAGGTTGATGAATGGGTTTCTCGCCTTCCCGATTCTCGATTTGACATCCTCGTCCGTTCCTCCTGTAGTTGAGACAATTAATGCTCCCTAGATATGTGAATGAAATAACCTCTTTCAAATCCCTCCAATGACTGGCGGTGATTGGCGGTGGATGTTGCTGCTGCTGTTGTTGTTGTTGGTTGGTTATTTTCATAACCTCCGTCCTGTTTATGTTCACCTGGAGTCCTGTATTCTCCAGCTGCTTCTTCGACCAGTTTGTCGGTTTTCGCTTGTAAGTCTTCGATTTTGTGTGACATCAAACATAAATCATCCACGCGCGAAATCCAGGTCTTCTAGGTTCTTCACGTCGGTCCATGATATCCCTGTCTTCTCGTTTCCCACTGTCTGACGCATAATCCAGTCCACCACAATTAGGAATATCATTGGTGATAATAGGCTAGTACCCTTCTCTGACTCCTTTGTTTACTCCAAACGCCTCGGTGAGTTTTCCGTTGTGGATCACTTGACATGTGCCGTTGTCGTACAGCTGTTGAATAAGGTTGATGAATATTTGGGGTACGCCGTAGTACTCGAGTAGTTTCCAAATTACTTCGCGGTCAACGCTGTCTGTTGAAGGCCTTCTCAAAGTCTATAAAGTTGAGGTAGAGGTTTGATTGCCATTGCATGCTTTGTTCGATGATGATGCGTAGAGTTGCAATTTGGTCAGAACATGATTTGCCTTTCCTGAATCCAGCTTGTTCTGGTCGGAGTTCTGTATCCAGTGCGTCCTCATCCTTATTTTTGCTTTCATCGAAAGAAGGCACATCGGCTGACTGGCTTCCTGAAGACTTTCACCAGCCTGCGTCATTTCACTTCCCCGATTCCAGCGAAAAATAAGGTTATTGTTTGTATTTTTAGTATTTTTAATATATTTGTACGTTGAAGTTTCTGTAGCGATTTGGTTAAGTTTTGGGGGTGGAGTTGCTAGCACCACGCCCCAACCCTCCCTCTTTATCCGGGCTTGGGACCGGCTAGAATTCTAGTGACCTAGTAATCTATTCGAGGTTAAACTAATAAGTCATACCTCCAGTTAATCACTGTATCAAGTATTCAAAGGTAGATAAAGTGGTTAATAGCTGTCAATATGATTGTTGTGTGTTCAGTACCCATAGCACAGTTTCATATATGCTTACCTGAATTTATTATATGTTTGTTAACCATGAAATTATCTGGAGGTTGTGTGGGTGTAGTCAGTCTTACAGATATATATATATATATATATATATATATATACAAAGATGTTTTGTCTTTGAAAATAATGGATTTGAGACCTCAATTTAAAACTGGTTTTGATCATCGCTTGACACACACAAGTTGAATAAGTATCAAAAGGCATAAGTTGGTTCAACTGCACGATTTTCGCCACATCTCTTGTGGCACACAAAAACAGAGAAAAGAAAGAAAAACGAGAGATTTAAAAGAACTACAATAAGCAAGAAAGGCTAATTACTTAATGGATCTGGCAGATCACAAAGCATGAATGCATCTGTGCTACTGAGAACGATTTTGAGCCATATCACCAACAGCCTCGAGCAGCTATTGCTTCTTATCATCCTGAGGACCTCAACCGGGCAGTCTACTTCTCCGTACGTGACTCAAACCAACTGTCAAAGACTTCCAAGTTTTGGTTTAACAATCCCTAACTCTTTTCCAACCTAATCCTGTGTTAACTAACATGGCTCGTCGAGGAAAGTGCTGGCTCAGCATGCGTGGCAAGTATCCTAGCCATTTCAATCTATGTCCTTTCAAAGTTCCATCAAATGGCTTACCCTCCTTACCTAACAGCACGTCTAACTTCACTATTGCTCACCATACCACTTAAGGCGAAACAAAGAAAGCAAACATCTGTGTGTAGGGATAGGTGCCCTTTTCATACTTCCCACTTCCAATGGCTATGCCTCACAAACCATAAAGGAGGACGGTGCGAATTGCTATGTAGCACACGCATCCATTTTTTAAATGAGTAAAATCTATGGCGAAGTTCAACAATAGCGTCCCAGGATTACGAACGCTCCAATAACCTTGAATGCATGCTAGTCGTTGGCTAAGGATACCTGTCATTACTATAGAACAAATGTGAATGCTGTTTACCAACTAAGGAGCAAGATCACGTCTTTAAGTACTGTCTGGATAATGTGTTAATAGCTCGTTAGAGTTAAGGTTAGGATTAGGGTCATAATTAGGATTAGGTTTCCGGTTAGGACAAGGGTTGTAATTAGGGTTAGGATTAAGGTTAGGGTTAGTGTTAAGTTTACGGGTTAGGGTTACGATTAGGGATTGATTTAGAGTTGATATCATTTATTTTAATTTGTTTTATTATCCACATTTTCCTGGTAAGTAATCACCAATCAATCCTCTTACTGGAAACCATAGTAATTCAACCGAGGGCTTTTGACGAAGACTGCACAACAGTATAAGAGAGATAAACAATTCACAAAAACAGCTCGTCTTCAGTCACCTCGGTGCATACAAGTACAGAAACTAGTCTAACTTAGCAACTGATGCTCCTCATTATAACTGGGACGTATTTTTAAGTCATGTCAGAGAACGATACCCTGTTTAATGTGTTTTCAAGCATTTTCTTGTAAATATACGTCATTTTTTGCGCAAAAATTCCTCATTTTTATGACTCGGTCGGTTGGTCGGTTTTCGAAATAGAACTTTGCACATATGTGCGGCAGTTCAAGTCGCCACACTCCCTCTATGTAGCACACAAAGCAAGAGAAGAAAATAGGAGAAATGCATAATATAGACAGTAAACAGATGTGTGACACAAAGGTATAGTAATAACAAAGAACAAAACAGTTTAATTGGAAATCATAAGTCACAAAGAGTGTATGCATTTGCGCCACTGAGAACGATTTTGAGCCATGTCACCAATTGTTTCCAACCACTGGTTTTTACCGTCCCGAGGACCCCAACTAGGAAGTGTACATCTTCCTACGTGGCTTAGACCAACTGTTGTGGATTTCATTGACTGGTGCCATGTTTTGGTTTGACGGCCGCTAGCTCTTTTCCAGCCTGACCCTGTATCAGCTAACATTGCCCATTGTCGAGGAAGGCGATGACTAGGCATTGATGCGTAACACATGTCCTAACCATCTCAGTCGAAGTAATTTCACAGTCTCGTCGACTGATTTCCCCTCCTTACCTAGCACTTGACCAAAGCCTAACCTCAATATTGCTCAGCTTATTATACCACTTCACGCGGGAGATAGAACGCAGACACTTATGATCGAACACAAATAATCTTTTCATGTCTTCTGCTCTCAATGGCCATGTCTCACAGCCATA